TCGTGAGACCGAGACAGGTAAATTTGAAAATAGGAAAGAAAGAGGGAGAACACCTAAATTCAATGATACTGATGGTAAGTATCTTCGTTATGCAGCCTTCAGGGCAGAAGGAAGACTGCCACTGATCTCAAGCATGAGATAAACGACCATGTACTAAATGAAAGAAAAGTGTCCAGATCTACAGTATCAAGAAGACTCAACAAGAATGGAATATCTGGTCGTGTAGCAGTTAAAAAACATTTACTTTGATGTCCAAATAATGTTAAGAGACTGAAATTGGCTAAAAAGTACAAATATTGTACTGTTGATGATTGGAAGGATGAGCCCAAGTTTGAAATATTTGGTTCCAAGCATAGGTTGTATGTCCGGCAGAAGAGAGGTGAAAGATATTTACCTCAATGCATAGCACCCACTATGAAGCATGGGGGAGACAGTGTGATAATTTGGGGGTGTTTTTCTACTGAGGTGACAGAAGATATTTGCAAAATAGATGGAAAAATGGACCAGCGCAAGTACTACCAGATAGTGATCCGCCATGGTATACCCAGTAGTTTGCATATTATTAGTAAAGGATTCTACTACCAAGAAGATAATGAACCCAAACATTCATCCAACTTATGAAGAAATTACTTAGCTAAGAAAGTAGATACTGGAGACAATCAAATGATGCAATGAGATTTGATAGATCAAAACTTGACAAATCAAAAGTTACTTCCAAAGAAACTTTATGTCAGTGTATTAGAGACATTTAGAGTAAAATCCCAAAGGATACGTTGATTAAATATGTTGCAACAATGTCTGAAAGACTGTCTGCAGTTATTAAAGCACAAGAGGACACATAAAATATTAACTGTTTATTGAACACAAGCACTTCCACTGAGTTTCTGTTGTACTAAATATGAAGATTAATAAAATTTTGATGTTTCACCTGTGATTTACATTCCATTGTTCTTTGAAAGAAGCCTGAAATCTAATTTTTGAATTTGTCCTAACCCTTTTGCAGAGTAATGTATATATACTAGCTAATATATATATATGTGTGTGTGTGTGTAGTTATTTAAAGTGAGGTCCATTGTAATTGGTTGTTTCAGTGTGTGTGTAACAAAACTCTTTATTACTGAAGATCTTATTTAATAAAAGAAATAAAATCTAAACGATATAGAAGCAGCATAAATCTGTGTCAAATATTGAGTCTTTAATATTTTTATATGGAACAAAATACATAAATATACATTGATATCAGATCAGAATTCTGCACTTACCTGCTGCTTCTGTTCTTGTATATCATGCATTCTTAATTCATCTTTGGAAATATTGAAATGTTCAAAATTTTTGTTTAATTTTTTTTCTATGCAGATTTGGAATGAAAACACTGTTCCATTCGGAATTTCTCTGTTCAGCACGACCCTTTTCTCTTTCTCTCAACTTTTCATATTAACTGTCATTTCCTTTTTGTTGGCCTGGAAAATGGCATTGAAGTGTTTAAAACTGCGAATGTTAAAAAAATAGTGATCAGTCACGTGGTGACGCTGTTGCAAGACAAAGTAACCGATGTTTTCATGGAAGCACAAAACATCATTTTCTCAGCCTTTTCCACTTGTCTTTCATCATAACTAGTTCTGCAAAAATTCAATTCGAGAGATGAAAAGCCAAGTGATCTCGGATTTGAACCTGAGATCTGTTACACGCGAGATGAGTGCACTACCAATTAAATTAAGTGGCTAGCCTCTTAATAATTGCTTGTAAGGCACCTTTTAACTTCTTGAATACTACATTGTACCCTTCTCACAAACAAAGTCCGTCCTCAAGTCACGGAACAGTTATTAGGTAGGTAGACGTTCATGTGGTAATTTTTTTCCCTTTTTTCACGATATTTTCATTGCCTTTCATCGTATAGGACACTTTTTTAACAACTCAGACCTTGCATCCATTCTCAATGACGGAACGAACAGTTTTGTTTGTTTGTCAGTTAATTTAAAATTTCATTTTAACATTCATTTCGAATGTGTGTGAAAAGGAAGGAATTAAGGATTTATTAAAATATCTCTATATTGATTTTTGATTAACAGAAAATAAAACAGTTCTTGGCTAACTACAAGCTGAAAATCAACTCAGAATTTCCATTTTTCACTTCCAAAGAAGCTCAAAACTTAATTCAACTTTTTTCACAAAACAAGTTTTGTTTAAATAAAATCACGCAAAACCAAGAAAAAGGCAAAAAATTCCCATCAACTTCTACTTTTTCATCTCACGCTTTAGTTCAACAAAACTACAATATGAAGAAACTATTTGAGTGTGTGAATGTTTTCTGCACTTTAAAATCGACCACGAAACTCTTCAAACTACTCATATTTGCAAATCATTTACTAAAATACATGAAAAACCTGCTGGAATATTCAGCAAAAATGTATCGTGATATCCTTTCTCTTTACTGGCTTCGATATTTGAACTACGCTGGGATATGTATGACTCCAGCCAACTAAACATTGGTCATCGTGAAGGTTTCACTCTTTGGTAAAGTGTCTTTACTTGCTTGATAAGTTTTTGGGGCTAGCTCTTGAATTAATATTTAGATAATATCGAGAGATGTGAAAGTAGAAAATTAGACATACTATAGTATTTACATATGATATATATATATATATATATATATAGACACAAATTAATTATTCCAACGCTCACAACACAATCATTTTGGCACAGTAACATCCAGGTGTCGAATCTATTTATTGTGTTTCAAGAACTAAAAAATTGTTTTCCCTTGCCACTTTAACAAGCACTCATTTTAAAACTCGTATTCAAATGATTTCATAAAAGTATTTGGTGTAAATCATATTTTGTTTTAAAACTGTTTTACCAGTTACTAGGAATTCAAAGGCTATTTGAAGTACACGAAATTATTTTTCATCGTTTTATTATATTTCAAAAAAATTATTTTCGTTGTAGTTATTTTATCTCACTTTTTTCTATGACGTAGAAAATATACTCATTTGACGTAAAAAAAAATTAAATGAATGATTGTTACTTTCTGCTTCAGCGAAGCAAGTGAGGAATTTATATTTTTTATTGTTTATATTTTTTCTTGTTTGTTTGGTCAGCCGTGAATAAACCCAAAGTGCCTTGATGGATTGACTTGAAGTCGTATACATATGTTGGCTATTGTTGGCTATTTTAAGCGATCCTCCAGAATACAGCGAAATACTCTCAATTATTTTCAAAAGATAAACTAAACGTTATAAAGTTATTTGTAATACAGTGGAAACCCTAATCAAACTTTTCTTTTTAAATATGATTTCATGGGAAAAAACTGTTCAATGTAGTTGTATAAATAGCTCTTATGAACATTGATCTGTATCTTTCTAAATAAAATGTGCTTTATAAAATTTTTCTTGGTTTGGTTTGTTCTGTTTAGTGCAAAGCTACACAATGGATTGTTTGCGCTCTGTCCTCAGCGGGAAATCGAATCCCGCTGACCACCCAGAGGAACACATCTTTCTTAAACACTGATGTTTAATAAAAAAACACGTTTATTAAACATGGTAATTTGAAAACGTTCGTGGATTAATGTCCACAATTGCAATTCATATGTTTCTGTTAAACTATCGCTACTTTCCACTTTTGTTTTACTACCAGAGAATAATCTAAAGGTCATAAATCCCTCTGACATAAAGTTTTGAAAATTGTAATCTTTATCATATATGGATGATTAATTGCATTTTATAAGAACGATTTACGTATAGTAATGCAGTAACGAGATGCCACTGATGGTTGTGAACCGCCATGCTAAGGGCACTCAACATGTTTAATTAACAGATATCCAACCATTCGATAATATAATGCCACTCGAATAGATTATGATTAAAGTGATATCTTTCTGTGGAAATACATTTACAGAGAAACTTTTAAACAAAGTGGAGCTAAACAGTACACAATTCTAAGAAGGAAACTTTCAATGTCCACTATGGAAGTAGAAACACTTAACGAAAGAGTGTTTTATTATAAACAGCAACGGGCTCCAAAAAAACACCTCAAGTCAATTCAGAGCAAATTTCATCTGCAAAATGAAGACTACGGTTACGAAAGAATATTCTATGATAATAAAAAAAGTTGAACCACAACCTGGAACCACAACCATTCCATTAGATCAAATACATGTCAAGTTCTCTGATGCAGCTGCAATATAGTATTATGTCTTTGATCTCCTCAAACATAGTACTGGAATCCAAAGTCAACCTACTGTGAAGAGTCTGTAGAGCTTTTACGAAGATGTAGTATATTAAACTTATCTCTTTGTCCTCCACAGCAATATTGCAATAGAAAATGTGGTGTTAGTCACCACAATAGCGTGTGATCATGACTGGCTATCAGACTAAGCATGATTCACGATAGAAGAAATAGGTCCAAGAGCAGCACAGGACCTAGAAGCTCGTTTTTATAAAGTGCTATTAACCCTCTGTATAGTGTTTGTAATTTCCAAATATTACTTTTGTGAGCTCGAACACCACACGTTTGGGGGAAAATATAGACACTCTTGACCGCCACTTGTTGTTATTATTTTTGGGTCACGGTTTTATATTCATTTTATTATTTTTGGTTTATGCAAAATATTTTAATTCGTCAAAAATGACTATTGTTCATATTACATTTTGTTTGACAATCTCATTGTCTATCATTTGTGAAAATCTTACGCACTGTTCAATTTCAAATCACAATTTACTGACCAAATGTAATGATCTTCATTGTATAATTTTCGTAATTTAAATTTTAACAAATGTGTCACAGCCTAACCAAGTTCTTGAACAAAAATTTTGTCATGCTAGAAGCTAGTATATAATAATTATTTTATATCGACGAAAACCGAACAAGCAGATACCACATCGCTGAATAATATTAGTCAATTACATCCAGATAAATGAACTGAAACTATATGTTTGTTTATTATGAATTTCGCGCAAAGCTACACGAGAGCTATCTGCGCTAGCCGTCCCTAATTTAGCAGTGAAAGACTAGAGAGAAGGCAGCTAGTCATCACCACCCAACGCCAACTCTTGAACTACTCTTTTATCAACGAATAGCGTGATTGACCGTCACATCATAATGCTCCCATGGCTGAAAGGGCGAGCATGTTTGGTGGGACGGGGATTCAAACCCGCGACCCGCATATTGCGAGTCGAGTGCCGAAACTACATGAAACAGTAACGTAGAAAACATCTGGAAGTAAAATGACGTTTAAATAATGAATCGAACATTAAGCTCCAGAGTAAAACATGCCATTTAGCTTTACTATACGTGATGATAAGTAAAATAATATAAGTATAGATCGAAAACTGCTTTTAAACAGCACACATGCAAAAGCTTTGAGCATAAAGAAAGCCCGTTAACTGTGTTATTTATGAATTGAAATCTTATTTTTTCAGCATGACATATCAAGATTGCACTTTTATAAATACTTTCATAAATTATTTTTATATTGTATTACTTTAAATGTAGTTACTGCGACTTCAAACACTTTTACTAGACTATCAATAATTAGAATTAGTCCAATCTTCTTGTCAATCTGTAATTTGTAACTCCGAATGACAAAAAATTACTTTTAACTGAATTATGAAACGATTAGACAATCTTGTATAACCATCTCACAAACAAATGATGTAGATTCGTCATTCTTTTCTACCCATGCATATGTAAGTCAAAACTGGACAACAGTATTCATGGTACAAAATTCCGCTTTATAAACGTATATAAGTGAGGTTAATTTACGAGGCTAAAAACCATTAAAGTGAAAACAGTTGTGGGTAATAGATTTGATAAAAATTCGGAAACTTATGTAGAACTCAATCTATCCTGGTAGTAAATATTTAATTGACAGACGACTTCATTCGTATGCAGCTTTCACAAACATTTACTTTTAAACCAACAGCAGTGTCCTTAATTTAAATTAGTTGCTACCAAAGGTTTTAGGAAATGGTTAAGGTTCATTAAAAGATGAATTTAAGTGAAAAAAAATGTTTAAAAAACAGTAAAATATTTGACAAAGAAATTGGGCTAATCATCAGTTCTAATAATATATTTTTTTCTTTTTCTTAAACTGTCTTTATACTAAATAGCAGACAATGAATGAGATTCAGTCCCACTATGTGTTTTTTTTTAAATATACATGTGCATAAAAGATGCTTCTGGTAGATAAAGGCATTTCTAATATCAGACTCATATTTTCATCAGTTGACAGTTGGGAAATTTAAATATTTTAAGTATATATAAATATCGTGGAAGAAAATTTCAAGCACGTTTCTAAAATATTATTGTTTTATATTTATCTTTCTTTTTTGTTTATCGATGTACATACTTACCTAATGATCCAGAGTTTAAGTTTACAAATGAATTTTAATTTCACATTGTTATAATGTGAACGTATTTTCTAAGCTGGCGAAGCATAATTATAATTATCATAAAACATTAGTATTAGGCCTCTCATATTTTTAACTTAGGGCTTTTTTTCAAAAAGAAAAAGAGTGTATGATAGCATTTCAACTATACTATCTCCGCTATATCGAGTGCCAACGATATATTCGTTCAATAACAAGCACATCAGAACGCCTGATATAGAATAAACAGTAATATGTAGAAAAAGTCAAGCCAGTAGCAGCAGATAAGTTGTAGAACTACAACAAACTTCGATTCTACTCTTTAGACATCAGATTGGTTTAAAATTAATTTTCTAAAGTAAGTTCTACTCTTGGTTCATGGCAACAATTTTCCTCCCTCTTTTAATTAATAATGGCTGCAACTCAAAGTTATCAATAAAATATGATCTCAAGATATATATTGAACAAAATTAAAGTAATAAAAACGTCAACAAATACGAAAAACAACTTTTCGATTCTTAAAGCGTTTATCACACATTATTTCTTTGTTTTGAATTAAAACTTAAATGCTAGAACATTTTAAAGCAAACCCGAATTTAACAAAGTTAACTGAAAAAGTTCTCTCTAGGCAATTATGAACAAAACTAAAACAGTTATCATCAAAAAGCGCTTACTTAAGATCAACATTTATTACCAGATTTTTTACATTTCTCTTTTATCTTATTTATGGAGCTGAAAACAAAGACATTAATGGAGTAGAGGAGAATACTTTAGGATTTAAAAGCATTAGATAATTGTGAGAAAAAATAGAACTGAGCATCTTCTAAATCAACGAAAAATGAATTAATTTTAATGCTTTTTTGATGCGTCAGTTAAAGGCGTCAAAGTTCTCAGATTCACTGGATCTTTCAGTAATTTTCCTCAAGTCCCAAATATTGTTATTAATACAATCGAACCCTCAATTGGTGTATTTAACAATGCATTGCTATAAAGAAGTATATTAAGCAAGTTGTTTACGCAAAAAATGTACAAGAAATATTTTTAGTGAGTTAGTTGTTTTGAAATTATGGTCATGCTTAAAAGCAATACTTTTTTTTCGGTACCCAATTTGCCTGGGAAGTAGTTTTACTTAAGCATATGTACAATATCAATGAATCAAAGTGTTATTATACTTATGAAAGGAAAATTACATAGATTTGATGCATCACAGGAGTTATCATAGTACATTGATTTACAACATTGGCAATTTCATTCGGTCAATATAAGATAGATTTCGGTGAGAAGATAATCTGATGTTAAATATTCATCTCTATATTTACTCGAACGAACATAAGTTATCATTTGACATGTATTCATCGTCATGTATTCATCCCTGATTAGTAATTAAACTTTCACTTAAACTGGATGATACCCTCAAAATATTTTATGATGTATTATTACGCATGGAATAATAATGATTATCTAAAATCAAACAATACGTACGGGTTGTATCTATGTAGAAAAAATATTACATACCCAGAAGGTTTTGATTACACCTAAGGTGTGTCATTTATTTAAGTAGGTATATTTTCTTGGCAGGTTATTGTGCCAAGTTTGTTTCAAATATTCATGCAACGCTATCCAAGGGATATCTGCGCTAGCAGTTCCCAAATTTCGAATTAATAGACTAAAAGGAAGGATGCTAGTACCAACTACTAGGCAACTCTAATCGAAAAAGTGGGATTTGTTTGTCATTTTTATAACACATTCACAACGCCAATAAGCGAAGCGCGAACTTGCGATAACGGGACGCGAACCACGGACTTTCCTATCCATAGTGTGGTACACTAACTGCTAGGTCACTTCAGGCCTATTCCTAAATATTCTTTGGTTCTTTAAAACAATTACACGATTATAAAAAAGATACAGATACTCTTGACGAAGAAACCACCTTCGGAAACGCCGCAGCACTCTGACTGCTATTATTTGGTCTACAAAAATCGATGAGTAGGAGGCTGATATACAGGTACTAAACAAATATAATATGGAAAAATGAGAAAATAAAAAGTTAATCAACGTAAAGATAATATGATTACTTTGTCTATAATTCTTTATTCATGTTTTTACTCATATACAATCTATTAATTTAATGTTTCTAAATTTTATTGTGTGTCTATGATGCAATTAGGTATAAAAATGATTGCCCATTGAAGCAGTGCCTTTTGCCTTCGCTTCCAAATGGCTCAGCGGTAAGTCTGTTGCCTTGTAACACTAAAAACCGAGTTTCGATACTTGTGGTTGACACAGCACAGATAGCTCATTGTATAACTTTGCACTTAACAACAAACACAAGAAACAAACAAACATTTTGCATTTAATGTAAAACAAAACATAATAAGCTATCATTTTTATAAATTATATCTTTTAATGCATAGATAAAAATATAAAATACAGTTTATTTGATAAAATAGCTGGGGAAGTTTATCACTTTTACTGAGCACAAAATGATTATTTTTATAAGACTAAAGTGCTATTAAACGTAATTGTTTTTATAAAACGTGATGTCCAACTATTTAATATCCGTTGTAGTTTCATATATAATTTCTTTGAAACCCACATTTCACGTTTATGCTTACACAATGTTTTTTATATTATTAAACACAAAGCCATATAATGGGCTATCTGAGCTGTGCCCATTTTAGTCTTAGTCTTAGTTCCTCCCGTTCCGTTGGGAACATTGGTCAGCGAGACCTCGC